TTTTAGTAATTACTACTTCAGTGATTCATTGGTTTTACCTCTACTATTTCTGAACTTTTAACACCCTAAATACCAAATGCACTGCCACTCCTGTCCATCCCAAACTTGGATGCAACACTGAGGTGGGAGGGAAAGGAGGAGGAAGTTGAAGGGACATGAACCTGGTGTGTCTAAAAACTTTTAGGGCAACCTATTGATGTGTGGGCTCTCAAAAAACAAATGGAGTTACTGAAAATTAAGCCATTACACTGCTTACAGTCCTAAAGTCTTAGAATGAGACTTAGACTCACTACAGTTTATTGCCTTTTCTGAAAAGCACTGAGCTGTTCTGAATGAAACACAGCAGCTTTCTTAATTCTGCTAAAACAGAGGTATCTTTCCTTTTAAATCTTCTGCCTACTTTGCATAAAATGAGGGGACCAAGATGGCTTGAATGTTCCTCTGAGCTGGACTAATACTATACATATGGCTCTCCCTGGTTCTAGGTCCCCACCACCCTTTCCTCTGGGCATCTGCTTTAGAAAACCTTTAATTAAACATCCTTTCTCTGTTTAAAACATATATAACTCTTTTTACAAGCCTCTCTTCTGTTTTACAACCCCAAACTCTCTTTCTGAAGGGCCTGGGAGTCATCCTTTGACATGTAATCCTCAAGGAAGATAGCACCCCTATTCCCAGTCTCTGTGGGAGGGTAGGAGCTAGCTTCTAACAGGTACCAACAGCAAACACACACGGCCTAATCACAGAGAATCAGTGAGCAAACTTCAGGAAGTTACTCAAGGTGTTCTACTGGTCAACCTCCCCTCTACAGTCCTCCAGCACATTCCCACTGTCTCACTCAGCCCTCAAACACCTTCCCATCCTTTGTCTCAGCAGAACTGAGCTCAGACTGAGTTCTGGCCTGTCTTCCCAGTTCCTAGAACCGTGCATGAAGTCTTCCTTGCCTGTTTAACTTAGTTCAGTGCAATTTCCGCCTTGGCAGAGGAGAACAAAGACACTGGAGCTTCCTGCAGCACTTAACTTCCATACCCCTTCCTCTATTTCTTGAACGTTTACTACCTCCTGTCAGTTGAAATATTCTAATCACCCTCAGAGATGGGTACAAATAGTAGTATCCAGCTTCTTTTACAGGAGGATACTGAGGCTTAGTGAAATCAAGCAATTTACATTAGGTCATTGCTATAATCTGAATGTCGGTGTCCTCCTCTTCTCCCCAAATTCGTGTGTTAAAATCCTAACCCCAATGTGATGGTATCACCATGAGGGACATGCAGCATGTGATGAGGTCATGAGGATGGAGCCCTGATGAATGGGATTAGTGCCCTTATGACACAGGCCCCAGAGAGCTCCCTTGCTGCCTCCACCATGTGAAGGACACGTTGAGAAGATGCCTGTCTGTGAATCAGAAATCAGGCTCTCACCACACACTGAATCTGCATGGAGCTTTGATCGGAGACTTCCCAGCCTCCAGAACTGTGAGAAATACATTGGTTGTTTTTAAGTCACCCAGCCTACAGTATTCTGTTACGGCAGCCCCAGCTGACTGGGACAGTCACATAGCAAATAAATTCTGGACTCCGCAGGCCTAGACCCACAACACGTGCCTCCAGAGCCCTGGCTTTCAAATACCTGGCACAGCCCAAATAAAAGTTTGTTTAATTTGCTCTCGTTAGCTCCAGTGTGTGTTTCAGGGTCCAGGGAAGGGTCCTTTACTTCCTGTTCTTGTTTTGGTGTTTTTGAGGGGGAGGGCACTTTCTCCTCCCTCGGAAGCCCTGGATGCATTCCCCAGAGCAGGGGGACCCGGAGAGGAAAAGGATGGGAGTGAGGTCCAGCGAGGGACACGCAAAACACAGGACGGAGGGTCAACACTGGGTGTGGCGGCCCCTGACAGTCGACAGTGAGGTACAGGTAACATTATAATATGTATATCACGTCCAGGGGGGGTTGGGTATCGTTTTGGAGGGAGCAGAGAGGGCTGTGGACGGTTCCAGTGTATTTGGGGGCTTGGGGGTCTTGTGCGGGGTTCGCACTCACGAGCTCTGCGCTCAGAGTGCGGCCGGCCTCCGGGGGGCAGTCCACGGAGCACCCTCCGCCTCCCCGGGGGAATCTGGGGAGAAGACACCGGGGCGGGGAAGTCCCACACTCACCGCTCAGGCCTCGTAACCGCCACGGCCACACCTCCACCTGTGAGGGACACGCGTCACCCGCGGCGCGGTGCCTCCTCCCAACGGCTTCCCCAACCGCCCCGCCGCTGAGCGCGGGAGCGGACCCGCCACCTCGCGCCCCTTCCTCGCGCATGCGCGCACGCACCCAGGCCCCACCCGGCCCCGGGACACCTCAGAGCGTGAGGCCTCCCTAAACTCTTCCCTCGCGTACTGCCCGAGGCCCCACCGCCCTGAGGGCCCTACGTCGGGCCCGTTCGCTTGCTCCCAGGCTCTTTGCCTCTGCACCCCACTGGACGACCCGACCATTCTCCGTCTGTCGCTGGCTCCCCTCTCCCTCATGTGTCGTGGTCACCCTCAGCGGGCCAGTAGCTGGTGGCAGGAAGTGGGAGGAGATTCAGCGGCCGCCGCGCTCCACGGTCTGTGGGGGTCAACAGATAACTTGCAGAGGCGCAGGCACAGGGGCCCGCAACCCTGCTCCGGGGGCCACTCAGAGCCCCAGACGCGCGGCGACCCGGCCTAGGGCGCGCCGTCCACGCGCCTCGCCCCGGTGGCATGCGCCGCCTCTGCCCGTGGGCGCTCAGCGCGTGGAGACCCCCACTGCGTCCTCTGCACCGCTGCCCTGACCCGCCAGCCACTCAGTGGGCCTCACCCCCGGACCTCTCTCATGCTGCTCCCGTTCACTGATGGTCGCTTCTCTTGGCGGACCTCCGCCCCAGCCAATACGCACCTCCACTGTAGCTTAATGGTTGGAAGCCCAGGGTCTGGATTCTATCAGAGGGCAAACCTCTTCCCTACTGGACCAGGTATCGGGTTCTGGCCTCTCAGGGCTAAACGGAGCTGGGCTCTTGAGCTGTCGGGTTAAGCTTTGTCAGGAGAGCGTGCTGCATGGACCCTGCAGGACCAAGGGCTGCTGGTCCAGGTTCGGGTGTTTTCCCTTGATTTTTCTTACTATCACCTTGCTGCTGCCAGCAGCAGGTGTGGAGGACATTTCGCGGCATTCACCCTACACCCCCACGCTCATTAACCGTGGATAGCTCAGTGACTCTCGCAGGTGCCCCTTCCTTAGCACCAGCCTGCCAACAAGCACAGAAAAGTTTCCTGCTTGCTAGATCCAGCCGGTTCCCTGTTGGCCAGCCTAGGCAGCCTGTACCCTATGGGGCATTTCCTGTTTCTCAGCAGGTGTGGAACAGCCTCGACCCAAGGCCAGGGAACTTCCCACCAACTTTACCTTCTCCAAGATGATCTGAATCCCAGCCTTGGGGAGGAGTCCTCTTCCAAGTTTGTTTCTTCCTTGGGTAATTTCTCTCAGCCATAGTGTATTCTTGAGCATTCTCTGTACTTTCTTATGGCTAACCCCCTGTTATAGTTAATAATTCTTTTAACTTTTCCCGTTCACGTTCAAATTGCTGTGTGGTTTCCTGGCTCCTAATAGGGATATTGACAGATGTTCCTGCTTGCTTGCTGGGTGACCCTGGGTAAATCTCTTTACCCCTCTGAGCCTCCATGTACAATGAGGATAATAGCAGCACTACCTAGCCTAGAGGTTTGTAGTAGGATTAAATGATGCAATGCAGTGAAGTCCTTAGTAGAGGAATGTACCCTTTGTTGTTGTTGTTGTTTCTTGGGAGAAGAGGTGGGTTGAGAAATAGGGAGGGACAGTGAAAAAGACTACCTGACTAAAGGAATTTTTTTTAAAGGATCAGTAATAAAGCCAAGTGGTGATGAGATGCAACTAAATAAAATAATAAAATAAATTTAAATTAATAAAATGAGTTTTCTCTCCTTTTTTAGAGATGGCCAGCCTGGGAAACAAATTTTGTGGTTACTGAAATCACATGGCAGAGATCTATGGGTAATATTGGTTGGAACCCACAGAAAGTTATATTACAGCTAAAAACAATAAAACAATAGTTTCTGGATATCAGTTTATTACAGTATCCAACTGAGGATATAAAAACCATCACCCCCAAACCACCTCAAAATAGAACAGCTTCAGTGACTCTTTCCATCTTGTAATTTCGGGAGGATCATCCTCCTTGTCTGCTTATCTGCCCATGAATCTAGAGAAGTGATTAGATTTCTCATGCTTTTTTATGGGGGACTCCATGGGCCCAAACAAGATTCAGAAGAACTGTCTCCCTCTATACCTTTTTTCTCCTTTGTTTTAATCAGAGAATTGGGCAAGAGTAGAAAAGTAAACACACTATTTTTAAAGAATGTTTTTGCTTCCTTTCTTGGACTCTAAATATTCTTGGAGCAAAAGTTCTCTTCAAATGTAGACAAATGTAGAATCTTGTTTTGAATTTTGGAAATAATCCAACTTATCACCATAAACTCTGACACTGATTTTAATTTGACTCTTTTTGTTATAAAATTGTGTGTGTGTGTGCACATGCATATTCATGGGAAAGATGATTTCCCCCCCCAGGCTTTATGATCTTCTTACATATAATTCAGTTGCTAAAACATAAATCTTTTGCTCTTCAGGCTGTCCCATCTGACAGCCCCATCATTTCTGGATGTTTCTGTTCATTCAAAATACTCAGGAATAAGACTTTGTCTCCACCCTGATAAATGCTGCTCTTACATGTTTCTAGCATAAAAAAAAAACAGGAATTTTAGATTTGCACAAGCCATCCAGGTAAATCTACAAAGAACTGACATATGGTCTCCTTTGGGGGAACTCTTTATTACATAAGTAAATACACACATATATATATATATCAAGATATACACACACAGAAATGCCCCTCTATGTATCCAGGTGTAGTAGAGAGTACTAAGGAATACATAGTGTCAGTAGTTAGAAGTGAATCTCATTGCACCCTTTTTTTTTCAATCCCCTTCTGTGTTCTCTGGCGTAGCAAAGGTCAGGAAGACTTGTTCCAGCGTTATCTGACTGATGGAATAGTCTTCTAAATTGAATTGCTCTTTAGCTTCCTCCAAAATACCAAACACCTTTAGCAATGACAGGAATAAAAAAAAGTGCAGTTACCATTGCAGCCATCCCTTCTGGCACCCAACCCAGATGAGCCTCTCTACCACTTATTCCAACTCCTACCAAGTTATTGTTTGATGACAAAAAGCACAGATGGGGGAGATGAGAAAATGACAGAATAGATCATTGAGAATCCACGAGGAAGCAGTTCTCTGTCCCCATTTTCTTGAGGGGGACAAAAACATGGGATTTAGAGGTGGAATTCTGAAGCAATTAAACTCTAGGAACCATTGAAAAGTAACCTAAAGTCTCTGCTCCTTCTATAACATTAGGCTCCCATTCCACGTGACAATCCCAAACACTTCCCATCATTAGTGCTTTCTTAACATGTAACATTAGAAGAGCATGGTTGCTACAATTACCTTTCCCCAGCCATTGTCCTTGCTGGGAATGTAGTAGTTAAGGAACCCTTGATTCTCATGTTTTAATTCACTACCTAGGAAAGGAAAGATAGATGAATAATCTTACAGATTTCATTTTAAAGTTCCAAAATATTGCTACATCAGCTTAATTATACACAATAAAGGGATGAATAAATGTGGAGAATAAAAGAGGGACATCATCCAAAAGCCCACCTCTTTAGTATATGTGACACGGTTAATTCTTTCATCAGGCTTTAGGCACAAAAAAATTGTTAGCTCATATGCACAATGTAGAAAACTTGAGACTTCTAAAATGCTATTGTTGCCACAAACCAAGTTTTGAGAATATGAACTGGTAGGATTTTCATTCTGGTTGTGTATGCATGTACAGTGTGTTTGCTGGGGAGTAGAGCTTGGCAAGGCTTACTATTCTTCACATGCCCTGTGAAAGAGGAAATCACAAATATAAACCCCCAAAGTCAGGCTGTGTTCTTATTTCTTTTACAGGTGAATAAGAATCCACTGGTGGAATGAGAGGGAAGGGGGGGTATCCGTTTCAAATTCAGAACAGATAGATGTGTTTCTACTTATCATTGCATATTTGCAAATTATTACTAATTAAATTAATTGGGGTTAAAATTGTTTTAAAATATATGTTAAAGTAATCAAAGAAGTCATGAGAATGAAGTAGGTCTGGGTGCCTGGGTGGCTCAGTCAGTTAAGCATCTGCCTTTGGCTCAGGTCATGATCCCAGAGTCCTGGGATCAAGTCCCACATCGGGCTCCTTGCTCTGCGGGGAGCCTGCTTCTCCCTCTCCTCCCCACTGGTGCTCTCTCTCACCATCTCTGTCTCTCTCTCTCAAATAAATAAATAAAATCTAAAAAAAAAAAAAAAAAATGAAGTGGGTCCAATGCCTTGGTAGCCTGTAAGTAAATCGAAACCTAAACCAGAGTAAAATGCACTTGAATCTGAGAAAACGAAACTCAAGAACAGACAACTACAAATAGCCAACTAGGTTTTTGCAAATTAGATAACTGCTTAAGCTATAGCAAACCAAATATTCCCTTGCTTACCCATATGTCTTTTCTATATAAACCTCTCCCTTAGCTCCTGTTTGTGGAGTCCTCCTCATCACTGTTAATGTGGTGCTGCCCAATTAGAATTGATATATGCGCTAATAAACTCTTGAAAATTGTAATATGCACCAGTTTATCTTTTAACAGATCTGGTGACAAAATCAGGGTCCAAAAGTACCCTCCTGCCCAATGGCCCTGGGAGCAAACAGCAAACAGGCATAGGTACTCACTGAGCCCTTTGTGCACACTACTTTTACACTGTGCCTGAAGATTGTGGGAATTCATAGTGCCTGGCTAGAGATTTAATAAACACATGCCTCCCTGGATGAGATTAGTTGAAAAGCAAAGAAGGAGTGTCTGGAAAATTTCGCCCCTTTAAGGTATCTGGGCTGAAAACAGATTCTTGTTGCGGCTCAATGCGCTCATCCAGGGAGTAAATGCTCAACTTAGGAGAAACATTTATCTTAGGAGGTCACCCACTCCATGCACTCCATCTGCATGCCCATCATGAGCACAGCTTGTTCTATTCACATGAAACTCCCTATACCACTGTCCTGACTATTACAGCTTCACATTCCTTCTTGTTTTTCTTCTTCCCTTGTTGTATTGATCACATTCACAATAAAGGTGGAGGCAGAGTCTGTGGTCCTTGATTCCTCATGTTTGTGCCTGAACGTTTGAGTAAGTAGTCTCCTAGACTTTATAGGTTCACTTCAGCAGGGACAGACCTTCACCCATCAGCTTGAGGTACTGGACTATTTCTGTGGTAGCTTCCATGGGCCCGCAATGCTTGTTATCAGGGTCTTGGTTTGGGTGGGTCCAATGCTTGTGCTCTGAGGTGGGGGGAAGAGGAGGGGCTATCTGTGTTCTATGGTTTGATTATCCTACCAACTGAGCTCTGCATTCAAGCAGGGCTACAGGCTGTGTTCCACAGTCTAGTGTTGCCCTTACCGGGTTCTTTAATCACTTCTGGCCAGATGAGGTACAGGCTGTGTTCCCTACCAGGGTGGTGCCAGCAGGGGTTTGGACTCCACAATTGGGTAGGGCTAGGGACTAAGCACCATTGCTTTTGTTTGTTTTTGATGGTGCTACCATCTGGTCTCTGTGTTCTAGTGGAGCCACAAGCAAGGCTAAGAGTCAGATAAGGCCTAAGTTGTGCTCTAAAATTATGCAGGGGCTATGACTGTGTCCCAAACCTGGGCAGGACTGCTGGCTGGCCTTTACAATCTAGTAAGCTGCTGGCTGTGTTTCATTGTTGGGTAAAGTCACAGGCTGGGCTACTTTTTAGGGGGGCCTCCAGCTGTCTCCCATAGTTACATGGAGCTAGAGACTGTGCTCCACAGTTGGGCAGGGTCACTGTCTGGGTTCTGTGTTCAGATGGGGCCACGGGCTATGCTCCATGATTATGTGGGGTCCACTGCCTGGGCTCCTTGCCTGGGCGACTCCATAGGCTTTGTTCAGCAATTGCGCAAGTCACAGTCTAGGATCTGCTGGTGAGCGGTACCATAGGCTAGGTTCCTAGGCTGTCCAAGATCACTCTGCATGCTCCCTGGTTATGTGGGGCTAGAGACTATACTTAACAGGAGACAGGATTGTTGGTTTGGTTCCCAGTCCAAGCTGACTGTAGAATGAATTCCATAGCTTCCTGGATTCACTGATCAGGTGGGTCATAGGCTATACTCAGCAGTTGAGTGTGGCTGCAAATTTGCTTCTCTCTCCAGGTGGGACTATAGAACAAGCTCCACGGCTGGCACAACTTGTTGGCAGGGAACCCAAATAAGGCAGACTGCCCACTGAGTTCACTGGTCAGATGGGGTCAATGGCTCAGCTCTGCAGGTGGGCAGAGCTATTGGCTAGAATCTCTGACAAGACAGTGATGAAAGTGCAGCTGTAGGATGGGCTCCTTGGCTTCCTGATTTCTCTGGCCAGACTTCCTTGTTGGGCAGGACTGGAGGCTATACTCAGCAGTTGGTCAGGACTTTGCATTTACTTCTCTGGGCAGTGGGGCTGTAGGATGGGCTCCTCACCTGGCACATCTTGTTGACTGGGGACCCAAATTAGGCAGAAGTACCCTCCGGTTCCCAGGCCACACATAGTACCAGCTCAGCTCTGCAGATGGGCAGAGCCACTGACTGGGATCTCTGCTCCAGTGCCAGTACAAGTAGGAATGTGATCTGCCATGGTCTGAGTGCTGGTTGCTTTAAGTACTACCCACCTTCTCTGTTCCTATGTGATCCCCAGTGGTAAAGCTCCTCAGTGATCCCTGTAAGGTGAGACCCAAGTGGGCCTCCCAGAAAGTGTCCAGCAATACTGGAGAACCTGATGTTCACCTTTGGCTCTCTTTTTCCCACTGGAGAAACCATAGGCTTAGGAGGGCATTCTCAGTGTGCCAGCCTGGGGAAAAGGGTGATGCAGTTGGTATGTAGCTCCTCCTCTTACCCTTCTAATGCGATCCTTCTCAGTCTCTGTTGTCCAGGAGGCTGCTTTAGCCTCACTCTCATGTTCTGGGATATTCACAATGGTGTCTCATCTATGGATAATTGCTAGTTGTTCTTCTTGTGACTGGGACTGAAGTCAGGAATGACCTATGTTATCATCCTGATGACATCACTCAATATTATAAGTTTCATTCGTGTTGTTTCATATAGTTATAATTCACTCATTTTTTTTTCCTTTCTGTACAGCAATCTGGTATATGATTATTTCATAATTTATTTCCATTCATTTATTTTCCATGCTGATAGATTATGGGGTGCTTCTAGTGTCTGAATATTGTGACTATCACTGATTTAAATATTATTTTACTCATCTCAGAGGACAGGTAGATGCAAGTATCTAAGGTATACCTGAAGGTGGAATTTTTGGGCCATTGCTTTTTTTATAATTGGTTGTACCAACTTTGGTTTCACGTCAGAGGTGTGGAAAGTGGGAAAGAGTGTCACTCCCACACTTCAAAAAAGAAAAGGTTGGATAAATTGCAAATTAATGTCTTTTCTTTAACTCATCAGTTCTGTGATTAGGCAAACACTGGACAAACAACTAACACAATATGTGGGGAGAGACAGGCACCTGCAGGGAGAAACAGGATGAAAATATTTGCTTATATAAGGCAGGCATTGATGGACACCATATAGTAAGAAGATTTTGCTAAAATTTTAATATATTGCTAAAAGTTGAATACTGGAGCTAGCATAAAATCATGAAGACCATATTTTTGTTTTTAATCTCTCTTATTCAGTTTGCATTAGTAATGTTTTTTTATATACAGCAGAGAGTTGGAATTTGCTTGTTAGCCAATCTGAAAAAATACTTTTTCATTTAGTTGGAGCTAAGCCTTTTTATTTATTGATTGATTGATAGTACCAATATGTTCTGTAGCAGTTCCCCTATCTTGTTCTATATTTACATGGAAATGGAAATGCATAGATCTACGTATATGCATAAATGAACACACACACACACACACACACACACACACATGCACAAACACTCCCAGTATGATGGTTGTTTCTACTTCCGGTTATATTTGTAACATACAAAGGTTTGTATTTTTGTTCTAATGAATAACTTCATATTAATATCTTTATACTAATGTCCATAATCCCATTTTTTTGAGATACTGTCTTTTGGTTCCATTTATGAACAACATTCTCTGTGCTAGTAATCTCTCAGTTCCCTCTACCAACATGCAATTTAAAGCAATATTCTATCATTAACAGCTAATACCTAATATATATTCAATAATCATATTTAACTTTCCATATATTCTTTGCCTTCTTTCCCTGTTTTTGATAATTGTATTATACATGTATTTCTAAAATATATATCAAGTATGTGATATTTTATCACACAAATACCCTGTATTTAGCCCTAGTTCTACAGTTACATTTATTCAATGTCCATTAGTTCTTATGCAGAAGCTTCTCCAATCATTTCTTAGTTGATCTGCAATGTTTTTGTTTTTATTTTCTTCAGAAAGGGCTGATGGGAACAATATTCCCCGAGTTCTTATGTGTTCATGACTGTGACTTTTATTTATTTTAAAGATTTTATTTATTTATTTGACAGAGAGACACAGCGAGAGAGGGAACACAAGCAGGGGGAGTGGGAGAGGGAGAAGCAGGCTTCCCGCAGAGCAGGGAGCCCGATACGGGGCTCAATCCCAGAACCCTGGGATCATGACCTGAGCCGAAGGCAGACGCTTAACGACTGAGCCACCCAGGTGCCCATGACTGTGACTTTTAATCTCCAAAGTCATTTTGGTTGGAGGAAAAAACCTGGCTTGCATTTTTCTTTCATTGAGTATCTTAAATATCTTACATGCTCTACTAGCATAAAACTTTCTTGTTATAAAGTCTGTGCTCAATCTGATTTTATTTCCTTTATATATGTCTTTTTGTCTGCAAATCCAAAGTTTCCCCCTTACTTTATTATTAAAGTGCAATAGTTATATTAGCATATTCATTGGCGTTAATGATTTGAGGTCAGTTTTTTGGGGAGGTGTCTGATTTGCCTTTTCAGTTAGGTTTTGTTTTCTTTTATTTTAGGAAATTTTCTTGATAGTATTTAGTATTTATTCTATTCTGTGACATTTTTTCTCTGTAGACTACTTTTATGATTGTGTTGTATTAACATTCCCTTCCTTCTTTCTTACTTTCTCTCAAATGATTGTTTATCTTTTTGTTTAATGTTTTCCTCTTTTTCTCCAATCCAATCTCCATTTCCCTTATAGTTCCTATACTGTCTATTTGTTCCTGGTACTTAATTATTTTTTGAAAGGCTTACTTTATTTTTTTAAAGATTTTATTTATTTATTTGAAAAAGAGTGAGAGAGAGGTGCAAAGCGGGGGGAGGGGCAGAGGGAGAGGGAGAAGCAGACTCCCCACTGAACAGGGAGCCCAATGTGTGGCTCCATCCCAGGACCCTGAGATCATGACCTGAGCCAAAAGCAGACACTTAATCGACTGAGCCACCCAGATGCCACTGAATTGTTTACTTTAAAAAATGCTGTCAGTCGTCTTTCCATATCTTTTTGTTGTCTAGTCATCTAATTTCTTAGGCTTCCCATTGTGATTTAGTATTTTCTTTCATGCAACCATTTATACTAAATATTTATCATTCCTTTGGTAAGCCCATTATAGAAGTGGATATTCCAGCTGCCTTTGCTTGCAATATTTATTTATTCTTTTTAAAGGCTAATATTTACATATGAGTTCCATGTCGGTTCCTTTTCAGTTCTGTCATATTTGATAGCTATTTGCTCAAAATAATGTGAGGAAGAATGGGGCAACAACCACCTTACAGGTGAAAAAGTGTCTCAAACCCACATTCCCATTAAAGTTCTTGTGTCCACATCCTTGGGGATAAGTTTTGGGTCAGTGTTTAGTGTCCCTTCTTCAAGTAGAGCAAGTTGCTAGGGTAGCACAAAGTGAGATATTTCTAGTCACAGCTTTTCTTTGTGGTGATTTAGGGACCACATCAATTAGAACTCTGATACAAGTACTCAGAAATATTTGCCAAATGAATGCATAAGTGAATATTGAACTTCCTAATGGACTACGCACTAAAGAAATTCTATTTCCCACACATATGTTCCCCACATGTACTCTACAATCCATTTCTTTCTACTTTCTGATCTCCATTCTTATTGCATAATCCATCATGCTATTTCCCATTGCTTAGAAGTCTGACTCCCCTGCCTGACACACAACAGACTTCTGTGATATTTTGCTCAGCATAGCAGGGTGGAAACTAAGGTAAAAATCAGAATTATTAAGTCTTGACATGTCCCTGCTTTATATTTAGGAAAGAGAAGTAAAGGACAGAAAAAAATAGTTGCTTTCTCTGGTATTGTACCATATAGGCAGAGAGCTGCTTACTGAATTTAGCTTGTAGAAGCATGCTACTTTTGAAAGAAGAGAAAAGTTTACTGATTCTTATTTGAATCTCAATTCCATATCCTGGCTCTGACAGAAAGAGACCAGAGTTACATTATTAGTGCAAGGAAAAAAAAAACCTTTAAAGTTTTGATGGATGATATTATGGACTGAATTGTATCCCCTCAAATTCATATGCTAAAGTCCTAATTCCAAATGTGATTGTGTTTGGACAAAGGGCCTTTAAGGAGGTAATTAATGTTAAATGAGGTTGTAAGAATGGGGCCTCAATCCACTACAAGTGGTGTCCTTATAAGAAGAGGAAGAGACACCAGGGATGTGCACACAGAGATAAGGCTGTGTGAGGACACAGCAAGAAGGCAGCCATCAGTAAGCCAAAGAGAGAGGTCTCAGGGGAAACCAGACCTGCTGAAACCTTGATATTGGACTTCTAGCCAAGGAACTGTGAGAAAATAAATATCTGTTGTTTAAGCCCCCTAGTCTGTGGTATTTTATTATAGTAGCCCTAGCAGACTTATACAGATTATATGTGCAAATAATTGAGAATTATGTTTAAACATATGACTTTAGATATATAAATTATACAGATAGTCCTAATCTACAACTGCCCTACTAGTTAATATACAAAAGGTTGGTGAATACTATTGATCTTTGAGCAAATACAGGGAGTAGTGTATAACTTTCAACTCCCCCAAAACTTAACTACTGATAGCCTACTGTTGACCAGAAGTCTTACTGATGGCTGATTAACATATATTGTATATGTTATATGTATTATATGCTGTATTATTACAATACAGTAAGCTAGAGAAAAGAAAATGGTATTAAGAAAATTATAAGGAAGAGAAAATACATTTACAGTACTGTACTTACCAAAAAAAAAAAAAATCCATGTATAAGTTGACCCATGTCATTCAAATCCATGTTGTTCAAGGGTCAACTGTATTTCTGTTTGTTTGTGGATTTCTTTCTGTGAAAATTTCTTAACACAACCAGGCACAAGGATTTTATAAGAACAAATATTAAAAAGGATCTCCAAGGGCGCCTGGGTGGCTCAGTTTGTTAAGCATCCAACTCATAATTTTGACTCAGGTTATGATCTCAGGTTGTGAGATCGAGCCCCACATTGGGCTCCACACTCAGCATGAGGGCCTCCTTAAGATTCTCTCTCTCCCTCTATCCCTCCCTGCCCTGGTTTGTGCACTCTCTCTCTCTAAAAATAATTTAAAAATTTTTTAAAAATAAAAAGGATCTCAATATGGAAGATCAATAAATATCAATACCTCACAAGAAATAGTTATTGGAGACACATGCCATCTGGGTGGTGAGAACAACTAATATGATTTAACACATCTCTAACGAAGTTAGCCTAACCAATCTAATTTACCTGGGAAAGCCGTTGCAATATATTTTTTAAAATTCTCTAATTCATTCTCATCTGTATCCATCTTGAACTTAGCCTTCAGGATGTAAACATTGCCAAACTTGTTCTTGAGGTGCTGAGGGCTGCCCAGGCACATGAATTTTCCCTTCACCATGATGGCCAGCCTGGTACAGAGGGCATCACATTCCTCCATACTAGCAAAACAAGACACCAGAGTGATGTAAGGCTGAAAAGACCTCCATTGGAAGACATTCTGTAGTTCAACTTTCCAGTATTTTGTAACTCTTTAAAATGGAAGTTGCATTTGCCTGTCATCAACATCATGGAAAGTGGAGATACTTTCAAGTTCAAAGTAGCTGAGAACGAAATTCTCAAATGGAACAGATCATAAACTTTCTGCCCTCTCCTCTCAGTGAGAATTCTTGGCCATTCCTTTCACTAGGATTCAGGAGGAGCTCATCCTTAGGCACGTTTACTGTCCTATATTGCAAGCCCCAAATACTGCTCTCCCATAGCCATGAAAACACTTCCAATCCTTAATCAAGCCTCCCAATAAACCACACCTGTGAGAGGTAATGATGATGACTTTGCCACTTTCACGTGCCCTTGTTACTGTGTTCCAAAGCAGGCGCCGGGCCCCTGGGTCCATGCCAGTTGATGGCTCATCCAGGAAGATGACTGAGGGATTTCCCATTAGGGCAATGGCATTACTCAGTCTACGTTTGTTTCCTCCACTTCATGGTCAAGAAAGCAGAAGCAGAGATTAAATTACATTACAGTAATTTAATACATCAAACATCTATTTAATACATGTCATCTTTTACAGAAAACAATTTGCCTATTTCCAAAATGCTGAGTCAGGGAACAAGCAGAAGTACTAAAAATGCTGATTACATGCAGCTCAACCAACGCACCAGACCCAAAAACACCTGCATAAATCAAATCATTTTCATTTGAAATGTAGAAAAGTGACTTTTGTTTACAAAATCAATTTTAGCCATGTTATCAGTGAAATTTATATTCTTATTCTTGAGATTCCTTGGGATTCTTAGATACATAAGCAACATAGTGGCCAGGCTAATACAAAGAATCTTACATTTTCTTTATCCGAGAGACACAGAACTATAGAGGTAGACAAATGGTCTCTTTTGTAATTCAATGGCTACAATTCTAATAGTACCAAGGTTTTGAGTTCCATCTCTGCAAAGGGAAGATATGATACTGTCTAGGTCTGCTTTACTGCTGGCATCTAAACACTGGCAGGGCATGAGATTGCTTCATAATTGTTGCCTCTGTTTGTCAGTGGAACTTTGGTTAAACAGCAGCCACCCATTCCAAAGAGCAGAAACACAGGAGACTCATTAATATTAGCGCAATGAGAGCACCAGTATAATATCTCACCTGTAAGTATAAATAAACTTGTCAGCATAGGGTTCCAGATTTAGTGATTGCAACAGTTTATTCACATATTGTGTAATCTGGGTCTCAGGAACACCCCACAACCTGGCATACATGACCAAAATTTCCCGAGCAGTCATGTAATCCAGCAAAGCATCAGACTGTGGACAATAGCCAATTTTTGACCTTACCTGAAATAAGAGAATAACAATGGACACAATTCAACTATCTTACTGAGCATAATAGTAAATATGGATAACATAGAAGACCTGTAGTTCTCCAGCCCATGCCTCTAAAAAGGTTAGAACCCACAGAGTTTTTCCAAAGAATTTCTCCTCCAGTGATTATAGAATCATTGCATCTGGAAGCCATTGTCATGTATTGGAACACAAGTGTGCAAAAGTATGGGTTTTTCTATCATGATGTTATCTCCCTATATATGGCCATAATCAATTGATTAAATAAATGGAAAATAATCTTAAAATAACAGTGCACCTGTTTACATAAGTATATTCACCTGAAGAAGCAGAATGAGATAAAAAGAGGTTAGTCTACCATTGGCTCAAACTTTACTCGTTGTAAGCCTACAGGAAATTCTGATGACCCTAAAAAGTAAGAGATCTAGATCACCAGTGTGATGTAGTGTTAATAACTGGGTGGATATTTTTAAAATTTGGTACCTTATTTTCTCTTATACGTCTCCATTGGTTTAGTCTCAAGGGATGCTAGTATATCATAACCAAAGACTGTCTAGAAGGAGAGGTTCGACAATAATATCTAGGTTCAGCTCAGTGACATCCTACTTTTTGGTAGTGGTAGTAGATAGTTGGGCAATAACTGGGGTCTTCATGGCTCTTTTATATGCAATATAACTTTATGACCATTGTTTAAAATGTAGGTGAGTAGAACTGGGATCCTAGCTCTTATTTCAGTCATACTGATGGTAAAAGAAGACAACATATTATAAAAATTTTATAATATTTAGACAAAATATCTGACTAAAATTTAAGTTAAAATCACTAATAACAACAATGAATATTTTAAAAACCTCTATACTTTACAAATTTTAAAAAACAAATTTCTAAGACTACACTCTTAATTCAGGTGTTAAGAGAACTCAATACATCTTGCAATATTTTGAAGATTTTATTTATTTATTTGACAGAGAGACACAGCGAGAGAGGGAACACAAGCAGGGGGAGTGGGAGAGGGAGAAGCAGGCTTCCCGCTGAGCAGGGAGCCTGACATGGGGCTCGATCCCAGGACCCTGGGACCATGACCTGAGCCAAAGGCAGACGCTTAACGACTGAGCCACCCAGGCGCCACTTCTTGCAATATTTTGAACAACAAATATTTTGATGCAGTGAGAAGGCCACTTTAAACAATGAAAGGTTATTAGTTAACTAAATAATTTGTATTTCCCTGATGGCTAGTGATGTTGAACACTTTTTCATGTATCTCTTAGTCATTTGTATGTCTTCTTTGGAGAAGTGTCTGTTCATCTCTTCTGCCCATTTTTTGACTTGATTATTTGTTTTTGGGTGTTGAGTTTGAGAAGTTCTTTCTAGATCTTGGATACCAGCCCTTGATCAGAAATGTCATTTGCAAATATCTTCCCCCATTCCATAGGTTGCCTCTCAGTTCTGTTGACTGTTTCCTTTGCTGTGCAGAACCTTTTTTATCTTGATGAAGTCCCAAATGTTCATTTTTGCTTTTGTTTCCCTTGCCTTTGGAGACATGTCTTGTCTGTTGCTGTGGCTGATGTCGAAGAGGTTGCTGCCTGTGTTCTCCTCTAGGATCTTGATGGATTCCTGTCTCACATTGAGGTCTTTCACCCATTTTGAGTTTATCTTTGTGCATGGTGTAAGCAAATGGTCCAGTTTCATTCTTCCACATGTGGCTGTCCAGTTTCCCAGCACCATTATTGAAGAGACTGTCTTTTTTCCATTGGATGTTCTTTCCTGCTTTGTCAAAGATTAGTTGACCATAGAGTTGAGGGTCCATTACTGGAGTCTCTATTCTGTTCCATTGGTCTATGTGTCTATTTTTGTGCCAATACCATGCTGTCCTGATGATCACAGCTTTGTAATATAGCTTGAAGGCAGGCATTGTGATGCCCCCAGCTTTGGTTTTTTTTTTTCAACATTCCCCTGGCGATTCGGGGACTTTTCTGGTTCCGTACAAATTCTGTGAAAAATGTCAGTGGTATTTTATTTTGTTTTTAAGATTTTATTTATTTATTTGAGAGAGAGAGAATGAGAGACAGAGAGCATGAGAGGGAGGAGGGTCAGAGGGAGAAGCAGACTCCCTGCTGAGCAGGAAGCCCGATGCAGGACTCAATCCCGGGACTCCAGGATCATGACCTGAGCTGAAGGCAGTTGCTTAACCAACTGAGCCACCCAGGTGCCCCATGTCAGTGGTATTTTGAAAGGGATTGTATTGAAAATGTAGCTTGCCCTGCACAGCATAGACATTTGCACAATATTTATTCTTCCAGTCCATGAGCATGGAATGTTTTTCCATCTCTTTGTGTCTTCCTCCATTTCCTTCATAAGTGTTTTGTAGTTTCTAGATTATAGATCCTTTACCTCTTTGGTTAGGTTTATTCCTAGGTATTTTATGGTTTTTGGTGCTATTGTAAATGGAATTGATTCCTTAATTTCTCTTTCTTCAGTTACATTGTTAGTGTATAGAAATTCAACTGATTTCTGTGCATTGATTTTGTATCCTGCCATGTTGCTGAATTGCTGTATGAGTTCTAGTAATTTGGGAGTGGAGTCTTTTGGGTTTTCCACATAAAGTATCATATTATCTGTGAAGAGAGAGATTTTGACTTCTTCTTTGCCAATTTGAATACCTTTTATTTCTTTTTGTTGTCTGACTGCTGAGGCTAGGACTTGTAGTACTATGTTGAACAATAATGGTGAGAGTGGGCATCCCTGTCATGTTTCTGACTTTAAGGGAAAAGCTCACAATGAGATACCACCTTACACCAGTTAGAATGTCAAAAATTAACAAGACAGGAAACAACAAGTGTTGGCGAGGATGTGGAGAAAGGAGAACCCGCTTACGCTGTTGGTGGGAATGCAAGCTGGTACAGCCACTCTGGAAAACAATATGGAGGTTCCTCAAGAAGTTAAAAATAAAGCTACCCTATGACCCAGCAATTGCACTACTAGGTATTTATCCCAAAGATACAGATGTAGTGAAAAGGGGCACATGCACCCAGATGTTCATTGCAGCAATGTCCACAATGGCCAAAGTGTGGAAGGAGCTGAGATGTCCTTCAGTGGATGAATGGATAAAGAAGATGTGGTTCATAAATACAATGGAATATTACTTAGCCATCAGAAAGAATGAATACCTACCATTTGCATCGACATGGACGGAACTGGAGGGGATTATGCTAAGTGAAATAAGTCAAGTAGAGAAAGACAATTATCATATGGTTTCATTCATATGTGGAATATAAGGAATAGTGCAGAGGACCACAGGGGAAGGGCGGCGGGAAACTGAATGGGAAGAAATCAGAGAGGGAGATAAACCATGAGAGACTCTGGACTCCAGGAAACAAACTGAGGGTTACAGAAGGGAGGAGGGTGGGAGGATAGGGTAACTCGGTGATGGGTACTGAGGAAGGCATGTGTTGTGGTGAGCACTCAGTGTTATACACAACTAATGATACACAACTACATCAAAAACTAATGATGTACTATATGTTGGCTAACTGAACAGATAAAAAAAATTTCTTAAATAAAAAAATTTAAAAAATGAATAATTAAGAAGTTAACTCATAACAATATTAAAAAAACACAGATTCAGCAGATTCTGGGAAGATGGCAGAGTAGGAAGCTCCAATTTATCTCCCCACCTAGACAACAATTACACTGGCAGAATCTGACTGATAGAACTGTTTTGGAACCCTGGAGTCTATTGAAAGCTTGGAAATTCCAAGGGAAGATTTGGACTGTAAATTGTAGTTAATTTTAATCAATTCCAGCTTTTAGCACACTAGCACCTACCATCCTCTATTCCTAGCACTATTGTAGCATCTGTGCACATGTTCCTGGGGGAGCTGGCTGGGCTAAAGGAATCCTGTCCTCCAAATATTGGGCACCTGTATTCTGATTGCTTATTGCTGCTTCTTTCACAAACAGGAAAGTAGAGCCCATTCAAAGGAAGAAAATAAGACAATAGATGCTGTCCCTGAGTAAGACCTGATGATAGATCTGTTACACAAAGACTCTAAAACTACTTTCTTAAAGATGGTCAAAGAACTAAAGGAAGACATGGAGAAAGTCAGGAAAACAATGTATAAACATAATGGAAATTATCAGTAAAGAGGTAGAAAATATAAAGGGACACTAAAAGAAATTCTAGAACTATTAAGTATAATAACTGAAGTGAAAAATTCACTGGAGGGATTCAAAGGCAATTTTGAGTAGGCAGAAGAAAGAATCAGGAAACAAAAAGATAGTATAATGGAAATTACTGGGCCCATGAAACAGAAAGAAAAAAGATTAAAGAAAAGTGGATGGAGTCTGTGAAACCTGTGGGACACTATCAAGTGGATGAACATGCATTGTTAGGGTCTCAGAAAAAAGAGTGATAAAGGAACAGAGAGAATAGTTGAAGAAATGATGACTAAAAACTTCCCAAATTCAATGAAAGACATGCATATGAACAATCAAGAAGCCCAATGAACTCCAAACAAGATGAACCCACACCAAGATGCATTAAAATCAAACTTTCCGAAATCAAAGACAAAGAGAATCTTAAAGAAGAGACATGGGATCCTCAATAAGATCATAAACAGATTTCTCAGTACAAACCTCATAGGTCACAAAGCAGTGGGCCAGGGGTGCCTGGGTGGCTCAGTCAGTTAAGCGTCTGCCTTCAGCTCAGGTCATGATCCCAGAGTCCTGGGATCAAGGCCCGCATTGAGCTCCCTGTTCAGTGGGGAGTCTGCTTCTCCCTCTCCCTCTACCCCTCCCCCCTCAACTCATGTTCTCTCTTTCTCCCCCTCAAATAAATAAATAAAATCTTAAAAAAAAGAAGAAGAAAGCAGTAGGCCAAAATATTAAAAGTGCTAAGTTTTTGCTAAGTGCAAAATTTAAGAGAGTTCATTAATACTAGATCTGCCCTACAAGAAATGCTAAAGAGAGTCCTGCATGGTGAAATAAAAGGACAG